CCTTATAAACTTAAGACAAGCACTTTCAGATAATTTCTTTGCCTTGGTGGGATGGCGAGAAAGGACCATTAAATCTTAAATCCTATCTTAAATCTTCCATTCCCCAAAGAGAAGAAAGGACATTTTATTCATCCCGAACTTTTCTTACAGTACTTCAGATTCTCTCATTATTTCTGAATTTGATAGTGTTATTTAGAATTCCCTGAGATGTTCTCCTTTAGTTACTTTGGTTATAGCAAGGTTATCTGAAGATATGCAATTTGAGTAAAAATCTGTATAGCATTAGAGGAGCAAATTCCTGGATTTACCTCTTCTAGCCAAGGAAGTTAGAAATTACATTCCAATATAGGAATTAAATTATAGACCAAATTCCTGTCAACCCTCACTAGCTATCATGGGGTATTTTAAAGACACAAAATAGAATTAACTATTGTGTAATCTCAGACACTTGATTGCTCCAAGGATCAATTAGGCTGATGGTTATAGTTTTAGATTAGGACAAAAAAAACCCTTAGATTTAGTTGCCTATAATTTAGCAGTTCAATTTTTAAATTATATTAGTCATTTTACAGACTCAAAGAACCGTGTTAGGAATTAAAAAGTAGGGAGTTGAGAAGAGGACACAAGAATCATGCCAAAATAGATAAATATCCAAACAAATATCCAAAGCTTCCTTACTTTCTCATATAAAAATCTATTTTTGTTAATGCATAGGCAAAAAACCAAGGCCTCTTTACTGTAAACGCTCAGTTATTAGAATGAGAAATACAGGCCAATAACAAAACATGATTTATTTCAAAATCAAGATTATTATTCCTGCCCTCTGGAACATCTGACCCCCTGTAGTAAGATTGGGTCCCATTCTCCTGATTTTCATAAAAGCCTCAAGATCTGGCTCTGCCATATGACTTGGGGACCCAATGGGAAAGCTTCATACTGGAGGTGGTTGATTAATTAAATTCAATCCCACTTCCCCCCCCCCTTGTGTCCAGCTCCCCTCTTTGCCATCTTGTGTCCATGATTTTATCTGTTAGTGTTTTTAATCTGCTATGCTTTTTTACACAATATGATTTTAATGTTTTTCTATGTTGTAAACCTCCCAGAGTTGTTGAATACGAGATGGCAATAAATACATTTTATAAATAAATAAATAACTTGACAGTGCATTCAGAATTGCTTTATTCTAATAGAGATATTTCTTGAAAAAGGCTAACTATTTCAAAATGTTAATGCTCTGAGTAGATGATAATACTGACTTTGTTACTTGAACCATTAATCTTAACAAAAGAAAAACATAAACATACATCACAGGTTTTGTAATTTATAAATATAAAATAAAATCTGCCTAATAATCAAATTCTATTATTTATTATTCGTGATACTTCACTAGACAGATCATATCAATAGTTTCATAGTTTATTTAATTTATGATGTAACTAACCTTTGAAAGTCAAAAGGAAAGCTAAAATAGGGTGATAATTTAACAGCATGTAAATCAAATATTGGTAAATTAAATTCTTTGTTAGAACTACATATTGGAAATAATTCAATCTTGTTGCACAGTGCATATTTCTATTCCTGTTTCAGGACAGAATTCATTTACTAATATGTAATTTTTAGACAGATGTTTTATAAATAAATCTATCCATAATTAGGCACTGATTGCATGTTGTAATTTGTCATGCATTTGCTCATAAAGATTATTTAATATTCATTCCGTTTTAAGATATTCATTTCTCACATTAATAAAATATCATATTTTATGAGTGCTGAAATTAAAACAAATTGCTTATTAAATATATGTGTGCTCCATACGCTATTTAAATGTGGCCCCTTCTGAAAGTCCTGCTCCTTCTAGAGCAGGGGTGTCAAACTGCTGGCCCGCAGGCCGGACGTGTCATGACGAAACTGTGCCCACCCCACTGCCGGCAATGGGGAAAAAGCTCCGATACGTCGCACGATGTTACGTGACGTCTTGAGTTTGACATGTCTGTTCTAGAGAAATAATCCATCCATATAATGCTATAATATAATCTGTGATCCAAGTCAAACCACTAGCATGATAATGTACTGTCGGTCGGCACAGCCAATTCGCCTCATTCTTTTGCTGACACCCATTCTAGGAGGTCACTTATTACCACAGAAACAATCTAATTAACATTGCACAAAAAGACAAAGGATGGGGGGGAGGGAAATTATCTGACACTAAATAAGTAAATAATCTTTTATTGACTTTTCAAAACCAGGTGTTATGAACAAATATCACAATACAAAGATGATTTTCAATATTCTGATGAAAACTATGCAGCTATTTGAAATTTGCTTCCCTTTACCCCTACACCTATAAGAACAATTCATTTCTTTAAAAAAAATACCTTATATTAAGGATTGTAACAAAATTAATATAAAGTAACATAGAAAAAAGTAAAAAGAAAAGAAATGTAAAAAGTGAAAGAAAAAATAAAGAAATAAAATGGAAATAGAAAAAAAGAATATTTAAGGAAGTGACTCTCAATCCTCTCAGCAACAATACAAGCAAATTTAATATTTGCCCACCTCTTATAAAATTATAAACATAATCCACTTCTTACTATAATCTCTCCTTTCCATTCACAAATTTAAAAATCATTGTCCAAGTACTGGCAAAAAGTCCATAATTCTTCCAACGCTATATTTTATTTTACCCTTGATCAAACAACCAACTTTTTATTCCTTTTTTGGTTGGTTGGTTGGTTGTTGATTGGTTGGTTTTGCTCTAACAATCTAACTCTAAATCTTTACATTAGCCAGTTGCTGTTGTGGGCTTGAATCTGCATTTAAACTTTTTTCCTTCCATCTCAAACATTTTAGAAACCCACTTTTGTAACCCCATTAATAAGTCTTTGTCTTCACTTATCATTTGTATTCCCATTTTAACTCTGTTTATAATCCACAGTTTCTTTATTTTCCAACATTTCTATATCAGCTGGAATTTGGTTCACCTCTTCATTCTGTCAGTCTGTAAATTCTTCCATTTTACTCCCTTTTTGCCTTTTTTATTGCCTCTTTAGAATCTTTTTTCAAGAAATGCATTTGCAGTAATTATTGCTGTCAGTTTAAGTTTCCCAGTTCTTCAAAGATCTTCTGAAATGTATCTAGTGTCATACCTATATCTTTCAATTTATGACCTTCACTACTTTTCTTTCAAATCCATAATAAAAATATGGATTCTTAAAAATAAAGAATAAAGAACAGGTTTATCTCTTTTTTTCCCAACTTGGAACTTTAATGTCAAATTTCTATACAATCTCAGCAATCATCTCTTCCCTGGTAAACTAAACAATTTAGGTTCCATTTAACGTATCATTTTATTTATCTTATTATTTCAAAACTTTTAGCAAAAGTTCCAATATTCCAAATTCTTCTGGTCCCTTAATCTGTTTAAAACTTTCTTGAATTACATTATTTATCTTTTTGCCCTTTATTTTTTTTAAGTTCTTTAAATTGTTAATTAAATTTTCTTCTTTTGGAGGATGAAATTTTATTCATTAGGCAATGTGGGGTCCTTGGTGCTCTCTGTTCAGTTCAATTCAGTTCAGCTCAACATTGAGCTGCAAATATCTTGTATCATCACAAGATAGTTTTTTAAACTTTTTGCTTAGAAGTTCTCCTTTAACTTTGAAAACATGTTTAGAAAGGAAAGTTGTTGAATCCCCATGTTCAAAAGTAAGGTAGACCAATCTAGTGTCCTTAAAGGCTTCACCCGGGCTGAGAGTTTGATGGCTTTCCTCATTTCCCAGTGCTCGGACCCTGTGTTGACCGCTTTCTCAGGGTTCCCTCAAAAGGAATAGCCATCTGGAGCACAACTGGGCAAACTCTCATCCTCTCCTTACCTGGAGAGATACTGTTAGACAAGGCTCATCACTAGTTCTTTGGCCTTTGCCAATGCATCATTTCCACTTATCCAGTGATGTCTTAGTTCACCAATGCCTCACTCAGAAATTTCACCTATTAGAACAACTCCATTGTTAGCCAGAGGCCAGTGGAACTGTCTTCTCCCTTTCTTCTATTTGCATCAGGCAGATTTGCCCATCTAGGATGAAAAGCAATCTGAACTTCAGTATCTGTATTAATTTTGAGGAAAAACTTGTTTTGTGAGCCAACATTTTTCTCATGCATTCTGTTATATGAAATAAGGCTGCACCTGTTAGCATTCTTTCACTTCTTCAACAGCTTAATTTACTGGATGTTTCCTTTTTTGAACAAATTCTCCTTATTCACTGCTATACTGGGAATGTGTGAGAAAATAACCAGGAGTAGGAAAGCAATAGCATTCCTTGTACCAGTGACACTTCCTAAAAGTAGCAAACTGAACTATACAGTATTGGTGTGGAAATGTAATTGCTGTTTGGATGAACTAAAATAGATAAAGTCATCCCAAATTAAAGATTCAGTTAGTTAATATTTTCTAAACTATATCAGCATTAAAAACTATGCCATTTTGCCATCTGTTCTGCTGTTAAATATCCTAAAGTGGACTGAAATAAGTTGGCAACAAAAATCCTATTGTCATTCTACATATATTACTCATATATATTATATCCCTCAAATGTTCCTTTTTTTAATGTACTCTCGTTTGATACTACCGATATATCCTAGTTACCAAAAAGCAAATGGATGTATAAATAACATTTCACACAGATGTTTTCATCCGTTCCTAGCACATTTAAAAGAGTGAAATTTCAGAGCACATAGTAAATACCTAGAAATTGGCAGAAATGCCAAACTTTTTTAATATTTGTCATCAGACTAGTGTAAAGCATCTACCAACAGAGATTATTTGCAATGGCAAAAAAAAATGTAAGTATTCCGTGACAGAGTTTTACAGTACATGATCATGGGTATCTTTTGCAGAGGGTAGACGTCCAGAAATTTCTAAGATTTTGAAATATAGTGTATTCTGCCATCATTTCTTCTTAAAATTTATTTTCTTTCACCTCCTCTCACCTGTTTTTCCTCAGCTCCTTGTGGTCAAAATGAAACTAGAGAAGATGGTAAAATAATTCAGCTTCCTCCCTGCAAAACAGGAGCCTGGATCGTTCCTGCCATAATGGCTTGCTATCTCTTGGTTGCAAACATCCTTCTGGTGAACTTACTGATTGCAGTTTTTAAGTGAGTTGATAAAATATTATATATTTCTCCTCCATCCATAGCAGCCATGCCAAACTTTTTAATATTTGTCATCAGAGTGGTTTAAAGCATTTGCCAACAGAAGTTATGTGCAATAGCAAAAAAATGTAAGTATTCTGTGGTAGAGTTTTAGAGTACATAATCATGGGTATCTTTTGCAGAGGGTACATGTCCAAAGACTTCTAAGGTTTTGAAATACAGGCGATCACTGGGGTGCTGCGATGGACAGAACTAGGAAGACCAACCAAACACAATTCATTCAGCACCATCGTAACTTTGAATAGCTAGTCGCTGAACAAGTAGTCATTAACCGAGGATTACTTTTCCTGTGATTGTGTGGCTATTTCTATAGGCACTATGTATGCCTTGACAAAGGTGTAGCTCCCTATCCACTGTTTAATTAAAGATAAACCTTACAGACTGATACAAAGTTCAGCAATTTTGAGGCAGAGGTGGAGGGTCAGTATTAGCATCCAAAATATTTTGGTAATTGGCAGAACAAGCAGGGCCCACCAGCACTGCCAAGAGTTTCCATACAGTAAGCTTGCAAAAGAACACCTGGTGAATTTGACCAAGACATGAGGTTAGGTTAAAATACTGAATTGTATTCTCCAGTTATCTATCTCAGTATTGAGACACAGCCTTCTTCTGGATGCCGTCAAACAGTCACCTCACAATCTTTTCCCCAAGTCCAAATTTAACTCAGCATTTCAGGGCTTTTGCTTGCACTTGAGGTCCTCTGGCTGTCTTAGTGAAGTGGGAAAGAATGGAGGTTGTGGTGGTGTATCATCTGTGCTTCTGAGATGACCTCAGACGATGGCCGGTGTTAATCAAAGGAACATCTTGGAAATTGGTTCTATAGCTGTTACATTCAAATACCCATGTGAATAGATATTTCTTTTAGAGGTAGATACTTCTTTTAGAGGTAGAGGTAGATATTTCTTTTAGAGGTAATATTTTTATGTAGAAATAAAAAATGTTGTATATGAGTAAAATAAACAGCATAGCAATGTAAACATAACAGATACTGTTACGAATAGTCCATCCAAATGAGTGCTGGAATTGACCGCAGATGCTAATTGTACATACAGTCTAAAATGTGTTATTTTTCAATGGTAGAACAGATACTGATGTTGCATCTGTTGCAAACAGAATTCAGCAGTTTGTCAAAAGCCTATTCCTTTTTCTATTCCTATTTCAGCAACACGTTTTTTGAAGTTAAGTCTATATCAAACCAGGTATGGAAGTTTCAGAGATATCAGCTTATTATGACTTTCCATGAAAGACCAGTCTTACCCCCTCCGTTAATCATCTTCAGTCACATGACCATGGTATTTCAGCACATATGCTGTAGATGGCGGAAACACGACAGCGATCCAGATGAAGCAGATTATGGGCTCAGTAAGTGTCATAGGCTTTGTGCAGAATTACTTGGACAAAGTTGTTATGCTTCATGAGGGCACAGGTTTCACTTAGATACACAACCACCCATGAGCAAACAACAATTTCAGCTAAAGAATACACAACCAGGAGTTATTTGTGTGGTTTTGTAGTACAGCAGCCTGTGGGATACTGTATATTTGGAACCATTCCTTAGTCATAGCCTGCAAAGTGAGTTTTGGAAATCTAAAGTTGAAAGCAAATCCATAGGAAACTGCATACATACATACATCATACAATTTGCCTTTGAAGGTAAGCAACATTCTGCAAAGGACAGAAAAAGATTAAGGCATAGTAAGCAGAAGAAACTAAAAGCAAGAGCTAAGAGGAAAAAGGAAACTTAATTAAATCTCGTTTCCACCATTGTTCACTATACTTTTCCATATCTTTATATCATTGAAAACTATGGTTGCAGCATCCATTTATAATTTACTACATTGTCTTTTGTTATTTAAAATTCTCACCTTTTGTCCTTTTGAGGAATAATCAATTCCATTCATTCTCCTCAGTTTTCTTCTTCTCAATAGTTTTCTTTTTTATATATATCATCATTTTGCAATTTATTCATTCTCTCCATGTGACCAAATTGTTTGGATTCTTGACAATATAGCTTCACCTGCATTGAAAGTACACAAACACTCATGTTCCCAGCCAATACACTTCTAATGTCACTACCACCTTTCCTGATATATTTATCCATAAATACATTAAACAATGTAAGGAGCATCAGGGGCAAGGGATGTGGCCACTTTTACCTTCAAATCTTCTTGACCATCCTCCGGAAGACCCCGAATTCTCAAGGCAAACTCCATCTGTTTGAATTGCATCATAGTAATCTCATCCTGTAACGATTCAATCTCCCCCTCACATTTTTTGTTCATATTTTCAGCTCATGCTCAAATTTTGAAATTTCTTAGTTTCCTAGTATGGCCTACCTTCAGATTTGGTTTTGTTTTTGTTTCCTGTTTTTTTGTCATTATGCAAAATCATTTCTATTTTCACAGGTTTTCTAATTTGATAAAAATGTTGTTTTAAAAAAATTCCAGACATTGCATTTTCAGATTTATCTCTTTATTTCTTTTCTTTACTATTTTTTACTTCACTGTACATTATTGTTTCATCTCATTAATACCAACACTGGTACAGTGGTTAACAAACTGGTCTAGATATTAGGTAAATCCAGGTTAGGTCCACCCTCAGCTGTGGAAGTTTCGTGGGTATAGAGGGAATAGGGAATGGCTTTAACAGGCAAAAGAACGAGCTGGTACCAAAACTTCAGTCAGATAAGTAGGCCTTGAGCCTAGACTAGGGGTAGGCAACCTCGGCTCTTTTATGACTCATGGACTTCAACTCCTAGAATTCCTGAGTCAGCTATGCTGACTCAGGAATTCTGGGAGTTGACGTCCATGAGTCATAAAAGAGCCGAGGTTGCCTACCCCTGGTTAGATCAATAAACTAACTTGAGCAAAATGTCTCAGACAAACTCCCCCCTAGTTTCCTTGAAGATAAGAGAGGGAGCACATTCAGACTTACAAGATTTTGTTAGTATAGTTTTTACAATGAAGGTAGTTCTAAGTTCTAATTTATATGACATTGGTTTCTTACTATGCTCTACCTTGTAGGGCTGATACTGAGTGAGCTTGGACCAGTTATTCTCATCCTATCTTGTCTCACAGAAGTTGGGATAAATTCAACTAATCCAAACATACAGATCTACCGTAATTCTTATAGTGGGAAAACATTGTAAAAATTGGGCTCCACAAAGATACGAACAACAATGAATACAATAACTCAACTTACAGTCATCTTTGCTTGTCTAATAACTATCAATCTGAAGTCCTGCCAGTACTTACAGAGACATACTGCTCCCAATGTCCTTAGTGATGGGACAATATAGACATTCTCCTATCTCTTTTCGTACCCTGACTGAGATTGTAGAGGGTCAAAAGAAGAAAAAAATGATGGAGTCAAGTATCACAGCTTGCGTTACCTGAATAAGTCTGACAAATTGAAAAATTGTCTGGTAGGTGGGAGTTAGGGCACAAATTTGGGAAAGCAGAAGTAGAGCTACAAATCTGAGACTCATCAAAAGGATCTATATGTGAAGTTACTTATGGAGGGGGATTTAGTTATTGACTGTTGTTTATTGCCATGTATGTCTCCTATAGAACTTTTTATAACCGATGATGAACTGAAGAAGGTTCATGATTTTGAAGAACAATGCATAGAAGAATATTTCAGAGAGAAAGACGATAGATTTAATTCTTCCAATGATGAGAGAATCCGTGTAACTTCTGAAAGGTGCACAACATTTTGTTTGGTTTTGTATGTTTGAAAATTGTAAACAGAATTTTTCATTTTGTTGTTTTAAAATAAAAAAGTTTTTAAAAGTTCCATATTATTTTATTGGCTACAAACTAATAGTAATCAAAAGATGGTAAACCTATTTTGGAATTGTCATAAAAGTGGTATTATACAAAAAAATACTCACAAAAATTAAGCATATTTCCAAGCAAAAATGCCTGGTTTAGATTACACTCTAAATTTATTTGGACAGGTATCACTTGTTGCCATCATATTCATTTGACAAGAATTAGGCACTTTTCCAATTTGCTAGCAGCTTTCAAAATCTGTATAGCTGTGCAATTTTAGCAGTTTGATAAATCAGTTACTACTATCTATAGATCTGGTAATTACTAAGGAGTTTGCCACATAAAACCCATAAAATGGGAATATTTCTAATCAGTTACTACTATCTATAGATCTGGTAATTACTAAGGAGTTTGCCACATAAAACCCATAAAATGGGAATATTTCTAATCAGTTACTACTATCTATAGATCTGGTAATTACTAAGGAGTTTGCCACATAAAACCCATAAAATGGGAATATTTCTATACCAGAAATCAGTATTTTTGTCTGTGTATGTGAGCCTGCATAAAATGCAGTAGATCTGTAAATCTCATGTTTACAAATCTGAAGTCTATAAATTACAGTGTGTTGCATTAATTAATCACCTGTTATATTTTACATTTGTATAGAACAGTATAAAAGTCTATATTTTAAGATACATAATTTTTATTTTTTTCAAAAAAGGACATCGATGTATCTGACAACTTTAATCAGAAACAAAAAGCAAATTCTTGTTTAAATATGTGTTGATAAAATCATTGAGGGGGCAAGCATTAAATGGATTTATCATTCCGGTTACCCAGTAACCTATTTTTAATTGTTTACTTTAAAAAAAGAGGATTAATTTTCTTAGTCTGCATATCAGTATATTAATGGCATACTATTTATATTACCATCAATTTTCCTGATTAAGTAAATTGGTTTAGAAATAACCAAGCTAACCTGCTTGCCCTGTTGGATGTTAGCAAAACATTTTTTTCCTCTCTTTTCTTCCTGCAGAGTAGAGAATATGGCAATGCGATTAGAGGAAGTCAATGAACGAGAGCATTGCATGAAGGCCTCACTTCAGACTGTAGATATACGACTTGCTCAGCTTGAAGATATGATTGGGCGAATGGCCACAGCACTGGACAAAATTACTGGTGTAGACAAAGGAGAGGCCAGTAAGATACGGTCTCGAACATCTTCTGACTGCACTGACACAGCTTACATTGTGAGGCAAAGTAGCTTCAACAGCCAGGAAGGGAACACATACAAACTTCAAGAGAGTATTGACCCCACAGGGGAAGAATCGATATCCCCCACCTCTCCAACATTAACACCTCGACTGCGAAGTCACTCCTTCTATGCGATGAATATAAAAGAGAAGGGTGGGCTTGAGAAATTCGAAAGTATTTTGAAAGAACGGTCTCTGAGCCTTCATCGTGCCACTAGCTCTCACTCAGTCTCAAAAGAACCGAAAGTTTCTTTAGTGCCTGTCAGCACTTTGTCTATTGCTCCAGATTCTCGGAGGCCTTCCTCTTGCATTGATATTTATGTGTCTGCCATGGATGAGCTGCAGTCAGGAATAGAGCCCCTGGACAGTTCAATGAACATCCTTGGGACCGGAGACCCCACTCTTCAAACTCAGATAACTTCCAGCGTTCTCTCGAGTAGTGCTTACGTCAGTGGTACCTCTGGTGATAGAATCTCAGGCAGAAGTATTGAGCATGAAGAACCTTCTTCACTGGAAACAAGGGTGTTTTCTTCAGATTATTCCCAAATCACAGACAGCCAAAACCCCTGGGAATTGGATCCCCCCCTATATCATACCTTAGAGCGTTCTAAAAGTAGCCGATACCTCGCTACAAGCCCCTTTATTTTAGAAGAGGCACCTATAGTAAAATCTCATAGTTTTATGTTTTCTCCTTCCCGGAGCTATTTCAGCAGCCTTGGAGTACCAGTCAAAACAGCAGAGTACACTAGCATTACCGACTGCATTGATACAAGGTGTGTCAGTGCTCCTCAAACCATTGCAGAAAGGTCAAGTTTCCCTGGAACCCATGGAGATAAGGTGGATGACGTGGGATGCTGCCATCCAGAGAGGGAAGCAGAACTAAGTCACCCAAGTTCTGACAACGAGGATACTGAAGCCAAAGATAAAAAAGCAGTTTCCTTGTCACCTCAAGATAGCAATACGTCTAGGACCTTGTCTAACAATATTCTGCTTCCTAAAATAGAGCGGGCCAATAGTTATTCTGCGGATGAATCCAACTTACTCTATGTGCACACACGGAAAAGCTACTCCATCAGTGACAAACTTGATAGGCAGCGCAATGCAGCCAGCCTTCGAAATACATTTCAGAGGAGCAAATCATCCAAACCAGAAAGTACAGGAGACACCTTGTCAATGAGAAGACTCTCTAGAACAGGTGCATTCCGGAGCTTTGAGAGCAAATATTGCTAGAGATGATGTCTGCTCTGTGGCCCTCTTCTTGAGCAGAATGGAGTAACCTCAGATTACGATATGTCAGCAAACAGCTGGCTTCTACCACCAGTCAAATTAGCCCTTTTTAATCTCAGTGTCAGGCACCGAGATTCTGCCTCTTGATCCAGTTGGCATTTGCACTTAATAGGGGGTGGGATGGGTGCGAGGGAAGATTTTAAAGACATTATTTTTAAAAAAAGCTTTATGACATCGTGCATAAATGGGTAAATAGTTTGAGAAATCTGCCTTTCAAAATAGAAATAGATTTTTTTTTAAAAAAGAAGCAAAATAACATGCATCTAAAGTCGTGTTTTAATTATGATTCTGTTGTTGTTTACATCAGTACATTTGCGATAACCTATGAAGCAGTATCTTTGAAATTACACTATAGAAGACAAACCTATCAATTCCCATTTTTCACTCTCATGGTTCACATGTCTTTTTTTGTACTGACAACTTGTAGTGCCACAAATATATTTTCAAGAAGGGAAGTAAAAAAAGATGCCTTTTATATAGCAGCATGAGGGAAAGGGGAAAATTTATGTAATACATTACCATGTGGTTCCTGTATTAAACAGGCTTTTTCGCACAGCTGACCAAGCTCAGGAAGATTGTAATTAAGTGGAATAGTAAATACTTATTTTTGTAATTACATCTATTAGTTTAGAAAGAATTTCATGGAGCCTCCTTAAAATGTTACACAAGAGGATGAAAACAGTCCAGAGGCAACATCCATATTCTTACTGTTCTACACAATATTTCTATCTTTTTTTTTTCAAGTATTTGGATTTCATTGGGCATATTTGCATTTCTTTTAATCACTGCATTGCTCTTCTAATTGTTCCACCATTTATTGCTGGAGATATTGAATGATGATCTTCTCTTACAGTATTAAAGGACTGACTGGTTAGTTAGCCTAAATGAAATTAAGACTGTTTCAAAAGCCATTCCTTTAAGTATGCTTCCATTGTCTAGAATGGCAAAGAGAAGAGATTTTATACCATGTAAGAGTGGAATGCGAAAGTCTCATTGTCCTCAGGTCTACTTCTCAATAATGTTTGCAATAACCCTCCTGGGTGCAAGAATTAAGCATGGCTCCTAGAGCAGGGGTAGGCAACCTTGGCTCTTTTATGACTCGTGGACTTCAACTCCCAGAATTCCTGAGCCAGCCATGCTGGCTCAGGAATTCTGGGAATTGAAGTCCACGAGTCATAAAAGAGCCAAGGTTGCCTACCCCTGTCCTAGAGGATAATAGCAGATGGCATAGTTATAAAGATTCAATTTATGTATCACTCACTTCAGTGATATTTCAGAAAACATTTTAAGAATTATTTTGAGTTGGCTATTTAAATTCCTTTTTCCAATTTTAAGCATTCAGACTAAATCTATGTATGTAAGTAGTCTTCCAAAGCACCATAAAGCAAGGATACTCTCCATTGTTTTGAGTTAAGGCTCCTATTAACCCCACCCACAAAGCTTGGCAAGGTTCCAGGATTGTGGATGTTCTCCAGAACTTTGGAAGGCACCAGAATAAACACAGAACTCTGAAAGTTTCCAAGGTCCTAATTCATCTAATAGTAGCTGGGAACAAGACACAGCCACAGATCTTTTTGAACACAGCTGTGCCTTGATTTCAGTTATAAAATGTAATGCAAATTGCCCCACTCAATGGACCTGCATGCTACTCTTTATCTTCCTTATTATCTCATCTATTATTCTATAGTTTGCCAAGATGTTTTTAGTATGTGCTTTTCCATGAAAATAATTTATCAAAGATCAAGATATATGCCTGGATATATCCAACATATCTGGATACATGGCAAGCAGAATACACTGATTATTAGGTTTATTTCCTAAACTGCTTCTAAGACCCAACTTTAATTCAGTGTTGTAAATAACTGCACAATGTACACTTTTATTAGAGCTTTGATATGTGTGTGTGTGTGTGTGTGTGTGTGTGTGTGTGTGTGTGTTAGAAAAAAACTTTTTTACAGCAAAGAAATATGGTGTGGAAGTAGATGTTTTAGTCATTAGCCATTCTTTTTCAAACATGTCTCCTGTCTCATAAGGGATTTCAGATGTCTCTACCGAAGCCAGATTTTCCATGCACAAAATGGTATCTAAGCAGGGTTGGTTTTTTTAATCCACTACTAATGCCTTTTTTCGTACTATCACAATCATTCCAGATTTTGTGAGATAGTAAATAATCTAATATAGTTTTGAGTAGGGTATATAAAGATAATTCATTCAAACAATATTTCAATGACTTCAGATGAAATAGGCCTATTTTAAATAAGTCAAAATGTATTGCCATTTTTACTCATTTCTGCTTTGGACATAAGCCCAGACTAGATCAATGTTATTCTTTTCAACTACTGAATTATTCAATTTCATTTGAGCTGATTGTATAAAAGAACTCCTAAATGGATTCATAAAAACAATTCAAATCATCCTTTGAATTTTCCTGTTTGTCTTCAATGACAATATTCTGATCTACATTAAGCATACCTAGGTAATGATAATATATGGGCCCTAGCTTCAGAACAAATTGACAAATAGGACTCCTGATATCCCTATTCCTAGTGTGAGAAAAGCCAAATTCTGGCAGGAGTGCCAGCATTTATACTTTTTAATGCAAAAAATAGCCGTTTCTGCAAAAGCACAATCTTAAGATTCACTTCTACATGCTTCCTGGGAATGGAACCTATTTTGAAATAACTGCAAACTTGTAAACAAATGCAAAGGCATATATTGTGGCTTTTGTTAAGAAAAGTTTGAATGTGCATTTTTCATAAATTACCACAGGTGATCTGCTGTTAAAATCACAGAAAAAGAAACATTGTTTAGAACGACAGTTTTTTAAAAGTTACTATGAAAATATTCCTTGCACACAGGAACAAGAAGGTAGGAATCCACAAAATCATTGGAATTACAAAGAATAATTCTTAGAAATTATACCTATTTTAAAATCATATCCCATTGAACTTACAGCTTATACACATGACATTGTATAATTTATAAAGCACGCTTTAGCATTCCACTTTAATCACCAGGACTGATCATGGATATTATGTCATTTGATCTCCTGTCTTCTTTATTGAAAAAGTATATACAGGATCAATTAATAGTTGAGAATATGTTTTCTGTTAAGATACTCATAAATTGAGATGCTGTACGGAGCTTAGAATACAGCATTATTAAGCTAGAAGTTGCACTTTTGACAGGCAAAATTGGAAATATTTCCATAAGCTATCAAACAGCAATAATCGAACAGTAAAATGTTCATTTCTGCATAGTTGATGCTGCTAATTCAAGAATAAGTAAGCAAATGAAGTATTTTCCTGCTAAAAATAGAGCATGAAAACAGATGTACCCTTTTCATTTTTAAAAAAGATTGTACTTATATAAAGATAAATACACTACATTGAATACTGAAACTAGGGATGTGAATGATCCCATTTTCTCTAAAACCCTGATGGCTCTTTTGATACTCACTTGAATACTTCCTGTGTTTCAGAATGTGTGCTCTGAATATCTGTTTTTAGAATCCTGTATAGAATGCTGTATTAGCCCCTAAAGTAGAAGCAAGAAACCACGCAATGTTTTAATTTATAATCTGAAATATTATGTATAAAATATAAAATTACTAATCTGCATAGCCACGGAATAGGAAAGACAAAATTTCAAGATGAATTCAATTCAACTTAGTGTATTTATTTTTATACCATCATAATAATATCTGAATAAATGCTAATGAAAGCATTCAGAATAACAAGAGGGCTACATTTACAAATTGAACAAGAGACACCACAAAACAGTCCAGTGTTGTTTTTTACATAATGGGTTATTGTAATGTAATTGTATTAGATAAACTTTTGGATTTAACACTGTAATCAGGGAAGACAACCTTTAGCAAGTCAAATGCCATTCTTAACATTAGACAGTTGGCTTTGAAAGCCGCAACATATGCAGGGCCAGATCTGGATTTAGGAAGTGGCATTTTGGGATTTCCCTTCATTTTCTTTTTAAAATGTTTTTCATTGTGTTGTACTTAATTTAGGCCTCGCACAAGAGTTTTCATGTGTTTCCTACCTGAAACTCTGCTGTCGGTTTGTAACAATCATGTACACAAAAAAAAAAACCAAAAAAACCCCCAGATTGTGAGGCCCTCAAGTCAAAGGCTGTTTATCACTGCAGTATAAAGTGATATTTTGATACAGCACATGCAGTCCAATGTTCAACAACAGGAAATAAAGTCCACTGAACAATATGGTCAGCTACCTTCCTTTCCAATGTATTAACAGTTATTGGGCAAGGAATCAGAGTCTGTTGTCATTGCTGTTAGGTTTCCATTTTTATTTATTTATTTATTGGCAGAATTCCACTATCAATTCTGGCATAGTTTTTCCTAGCCTGGATCTTGCAAATGTGTTGGGACTTCTGACCGGGATTCTTGGCAGTTAGAATCCCAAAACATCTGAAAAGTGTCAGAAGGCTAGAGAAGGCTAGTCTTTGAGCTGGCATATATCCTTAATGAGCCACCAATAGCTATGATAGGTGTGTTATGATAATGTGAAAGAATAAACCTAGAAAGTTATGCAAAAGGTAAAAAGAATAACCTCTTCAAAGTAATATTTGAAACTCTGTTGAGTTAGCTGTTTGTTTACATATGCTGTGCAATTGAGGAAGCAGTGTACAGTATTTTTGAAATACTTTCTTATACCGTAGTAATCCATTCTGTTATTTCCAGTTCAAGTGACGCTGTTCTATAGTTGGATATATCACCTGTCCTAGCTAGTGAATTATTGCACATAATTTTTTCACAATACTAATGTGATAATGATTGAAATAATTTCTTCTTCTTTAAATTACAGTCTTATTTTGTGCCTATGAAAATGCATGCATTGTTTCACTAATTATTTTGGACTATTATGGGGTTCAACATTTCAATATTGCCTGCCTGTAACAATGAATCAAGT